AGCTTGCATATTCCCATCCCGGGAGAAGATAATACTGATGTCTATTTAAGAAACACTTTGCATAACTTCACCACAGCTACGAATAATTTCTTTCATTTGTAGGCACCTACAATATTTAATTAAAATATGTTCACCTTTATTACCTTTTCCCCATAACTGCTTACTCTATTCTTATTCCTTTCATATAAGTGCCTTGTTTCCCAAAATAAGTTTGAAATAAAGCACAACCCCCATTTCAGTTTCTCATAGAAAATAAGTTACGTTCCTTCATCTGAGAGTATCAATGTAATTTTTTAAAAGATTATGTATCCACTTTGTGCAAGGCACTATGTAAGGTCTTGTTCCAGAGACAGCCCAGGGTAAAACATGATCTTTAACCTTCATGAGCTATAGTTTATGAATGAAAATGGATAAGTGAATTTTGAGAAACAGTCTACTACAATTATGTGTTAGTGCTTTGAGACATGAAAGATGAAGAAGAGATTAAGATTGAGAGGTCAGGGAATGTTTTATTCTTTAAAGCAGGCACTGGAAATGGACTTTGACTTATTTGGGAATAAAGAGCTAGGAAGTGTATTCTAGACAGAGTCTGAGTAAAGACAGAAGAATGCATCTGGCACTAAAGAAATAATGAGTGCTGTAGTGAACAAGTATGAGGAGGAAGGAGAAGACACTGAGAAATGAGAGCTAGGGGAGATTAGAGTTTATGTAACTGGTGATAGAGAAAAGAAGATATGACGTCACTAATGCTTGACATGTTGGTGAAATAATTGGTGTTTTTTATATACTGACACAAAATCCACCGACATTAATAAATATAATTAATACATATTATTAAGCTATAATGAGCAGATGAAGGACACTGTGATTTGTAGAAACATCCAGAATAAGTCTTTGGGCTTTGTCTTAGATTTAAGTTTGCAGTTGTAAGATACCTGGAGGCTCTAGATCTTCAGAAAACCAGGAATGAATCTAAATCTCACTATTATTCAGTGAGTAAATCAATGGAGACAAAAAAAAAAAAAAGGAAGGATCATATGATGAACTGAAATATATATGGGCAATGATTGAATAGATAAGAGGAAGTCTGAGTAGAAATGAAACTTCAAAAAAATATACTGAACATTTGCTAAATTTATAATTACAGCTATTCAAAACATTCAAGGCTAAGTTTCCAAGCTAAGAATTAACAAAGTAACAGTTATTTCACTGTAACTCTTTAATGTTTAATAATTGTAAGTTCAAAATGCACAAATTTGTTTTAAAATTTGTATTATTTTTGGTAACTTTATTATTTTTTCAGCAAAAAAGGAAATATGGGAGAATTTTTAAAAAGGGAATGAAAGAGCAAGGACCTAAAAATATATTACACTAATTCTTGCACTTCCTTTTTACAAAGTTAATGTGACTAATATATCCATTTTCAATCCTGACTGAAGAAAAAAAACCTTTCTACTCCATGTGATTTTTATTAAGAGGTATAGTTAAGCACTGTTTGTCATTTAAAATAATAAAATAACACCATACAATATATAGTGAAAAACATCCATAGTAAACCATAGGTGTACTATCAATAATTTGTGCTTCTTCTATAATAACACATAAAATCCATCAATGTTAACATTCTATTGACATAGAGATAAAAATAACTTATATCATTCTAACTAAAGAAAATCTTTCTTGGTTTGATTTCCAGCTGTAACAGAAAATAAGATAAAATAAAATAAAATAGCAGAACATGTGGAAACAAGTAGAATAGGAAGAATTCAGGGTGCTAGAATAATAACCCTTAAGGGGGAATCTTCATTAATCAAGGGAACCTAAGGTAAGACATAGTCTCATGATAGTCTTGTCATCAATTATTCAAGCACTGCTACAGTTCAGATCTGGGATGGCCGGCAAGGCTTGTGTGTTAAAAGGCTTAGATTTCAGGATGGGTTCTGTTGGGAGGTGCAGGAACCTTTAACAGGTGGGGCTTTGTGCCAGGGCCTTGGGGATGTGGCCTTACAGAGACTGTGGGACTCTGCTGTCCTAACACACCTTTCCCCTGCCCTCCTTCCTGGCCATGAGAATTTTGCTTCACTACATATTTGTAACATAATGAGTCATCTCAGACCTAAAGCAATGATACCAATAAATCATGAATTGAACCCTCTAAAACTGTGAACTAAAAAAAGTCTTTTTCTCTTCCTGTTATCTCAGGTAGTTGTCATAGTGACGGGAAGCTGACACAAAATATACCATTTTAATTGACCCACACTATAAGTTTTATATGCAGCGAAATGTGGATGGGCAATCTTTTGTTTTCCTTTCTTATTCTGATTAGGGCATAAGAATTATGGGAGTAAGTGGTGAGCAGTGTTTAGCAGTAAGATCAGTGATTGTGAAATCAGTTCACTTCTTCCACTGTGAAGCCCCTTGACCTTGGGCTTGTCCCTCCGGTTTTCTGTGCTATAGTTTCCTAACCATTAATCTTGCACATCTTTCTTTGGAGCTATCATTACTTTATTGATTAAATCAGTGTGGCATATGATAACAATACATATACCCAGAGCATCAAATGAGATGTTTTTTTCTTAAAATCAAATAAGTTAAACATGAATATATACATTTGAATTTCAAAGCATCATATCCAGTTTCTGGCAAAAAGTTAGTATTTTGTTAATGAACAAAAATGAAGTGCTTATCCATTGATTTTTCAATACAAAACATTTTAAAGAAGATGTTCAAAATCTAGGTCATAAAAATATGACATACTTTGAAATACAAGTATTCTTAAAATATTTGATTATATGACAAAAAAATCACATCAAGAATCAGTTTCTAAAAAAAGAATCAGTTTCTGTTTTTTAAAAAGAGAATAACTCAGTTATACCAAGTACTTCATCTGGTTGATAATAATCCATTTCAAAGATAGTAATGTTCAAACTGCACCATCAAGCTTTTGCTTCTACCTACCACCGTTGAGCCCACCTCTTCTCATCTTTACTTTCTCATTTGTTTTGTAATTTAGATCATGAACTCATGTTCAGTATGGTTTTATGGCCTCAGAACATCCTGGAAATATAATTTCAAACCTAGGTGTGTTTAGGTCTATGGTTTCTTTTGTTCTTCCAGCACAAGCCCAGGTTGAAATGAGAAATTTCCTTGCCATCTTTCTCTGGACCTGGATGGGTTATTCTATCCCTTCCTTTTACAGAGAGGACAAGCCTTTGACGGTCAGAAGAGGATGAAATCCACTCATTCTATCCCCCACCCACTTTGAGTTATGCCTTAAGCCTTTCTCACTCGAGGGCCTTCACCCAGATATTCCACCTTTCATTTTTTAACCAAAATTGTTTATATTTTTGTGCCAGAAGACTCTGTTAAACAGATGAAAAGAAAGAAAATTTCTGTCATAAAATGAAAACTTACTTGGGAGATCTTAAAGAAGACATGATTAAAATTTTCATTACAAATCACAGATATTTTGAAAGGGCCTAACAATATCATTGTTACATTCCTTTTTTGTAGTGAACATCTAGGTTATTCAAAAGTTATATTTACTATTATCAGAGCTTAAATACAGAATGATATTGAAGTTTGATGACTTTGTCAGATCAAAATTTAATTAGAACGTTGCTGAATTCTGTTTTAATTTGCATGAAGTATAATTGGTCCCAAAGCAAACCACTGATGTATATTTCCTTATGGCAATGGCAGGAAGTTATGCTAAACATCTTTTATACTTCATGTAATATATATTTTCTATTCTAAATAAATATATGAAAGTATGATATCCTCTTAGTTATTAAAATATATGAACAGCTAAATTTTGTTATTAATTCAAATGAACTTCAATAAATAGAATGAAGCATATTGGAAAAAATTAAGACTGGAAAAATGTGGAATTTATTGTGGGCCACTGGGGAAAACCTAAGTTAAAACTTTGTTACATTTACTGCAAAATCTTATCCTCCATTTCTTAGGCCACATTGCAGCTTCCAAACAATATGAAGAATCATTCTCTAATCCCTTTGTACCTAATTCCCCTCCACTAACATTACTCCCAATGAATTACCCTTCTATATTAGACCTCATTCAGAAGATTTCACAGAGGAAATAGTTAATAAACATTGTTGCTAGGAGTAGATGTAACAGTCTCTACACAGATCACAGAAATAATGAATGATCTGCAATCTCTCAGTTAGTAGAAAGTGCTGATTTCCAAGATAGGCTGAAATTCAATAGAAAAGTATATTTACAACAACCATGTGTCATGGTTTGGGGTTTTTTGCAAGGGAGAACAATATAATACAGGACACATATTTTAGAAGATTATTTATAATAGTCACCAAAAAAGTCATCAAGAATGTGGATTTTACTGTACTAATAGGACAATATCTAACATAACACAGGGTAATTAAAAAATTGCTTAAATTATTTTAATTTAACATCAAAACCAACAGCTATAATTTCCCTTATCATTTGTTTAGCCGCCATACTAAGGTCACTCTGGAATTTCAAGAATGCATTACAGGAGAGCAGCACAAACAAAACCTTTTCATATCTCTCACCTGAGGCCTAGGAAGGGATGACATAGATTCCTAATCCACCTTCTATGCCCAAAGACGGGAAATCTCCTTCCTAGTATAAGGTTAATAACTTTGCCCCAAGTAGATAATTAAATCATTAGAAACAGATAAAACCTGAAACTAGGACTACATTAACAAAAAATTTAAAGAAATTTTTGTAACCTGAAAGATAAATTCAGTAAACAAATCAATATTTCTTACAAGATTTGAGGAACTAATATTCCAGAAAATATCTGACTTTTTTTTTTTTTTATAAGCAGACTCAACAGGCTACTAAAGTTTTTATTTTTCATGAAAAAGAGCTGAACTTGGCAGAAATAGGGAGATCTCAGCTTCCTCATATTGCCTTAACTTGTTTTTCTGGATTTCACCTTAGGCTGTCCTTGCCACCCAGCTATCTGGCTCAATCAGGAAGTGTGGAAGAAAGAGCTGGGTGTTTGCTGTTGACACAACAATCTGAATTATGCCTTGCTCTCTGAAAGGACAAATGGACCTGCCATTCCCTAGGTTTCACAGAAGCTGCCTGACTTGTAACAAGTTGCCATGACGAGCCAGTCTCAGGGAATCCACCAGCTCCTTCAGGCAGAGAAAAGGGCCAAAGACAAGCTAGAGGAAGCCAAAAAAAGTGAGTCTCATCTATGAGGGTTTTATCCAAAATGGATGAGGGAGGCTGGGAGGTACAAGAAGAGAGCATGGCCTTCTTGGTCAGGCAGACCTGAGCTTAAAGTCAGTTTTACTATGTGTCCTGTGAGGCCTCAGGAGTTTGTTAAAATTACCCAGCCATGAGTTCCTTATCACTGCAATGGAGATGAAGTTTTCTCATTCTTATCCCTTTCTGAGGCCATTTACTAAGTGAGAATATCCTGTACATTAAAGTAAGGGCAACATGGGTTTATGCCCAGCTGTCAACCCGCTCAGGGGGCCCAAGGGAGATTTTGAAGAGTGAGGTCCCAAGGTTGAAAAACACATGCATGCAAGACATCAGCAACAACAGCTGGCAGTATGGAGCAGAGCAGAGAGTGCAAAAGAGCTACCTGTGTCTTTATTGTACAATTCTTATACAGGTTTTTATCTCATATTTACATTCTTATATAGCACTGTAACCAGCGCATGAGTGTTTACCTGTGCTAAGAAAGGTTACAGAACTGCCTCCCACTGAGCACCTGCGCTAGACAAGCAGGGTCACCTCCTCAGAAGTCCTTAGATGCCCCCGAGATTTGAAGCAGTCTCAGCGGTTCCCCCGATGATGCTCTGCCCCACCTTAGTTTGTCACTATTGAGAAATGTTTAAAATGCGGACAACTTCCAGATTGAATCTGCTCACTAGAGAGTAAACTTGAGCAAATTATTTATCCTTCCAAAGCCTGAATGTCCATTTCCACAAAATTGTGATAGTAACATTTAATAGCTCATTCTCATCCCTTTTTTGATAGTTTTTCATTCCTGATGTTTGAAAATATTTCCATTTTATTCTTACTTTCTCTTTTTTTAGTCATACATCCATGTACTTGGATATGAATGTCCTAAATCAACTTCGAGGTCCTTCCTACTTTCTTTGATATTCATAACAGCTATATAAATAAGGTATTAATGTGATTCCTATTTTGTGTATGCAGAAACTAAGAATTTATGATATGCCCAAAGTTATTTTAAAAATTAGAAACTGTGGCACCAGATACCATGCTCAATATTTATCGTGTTTACTCCTCACAGTGACCTTTATGGCAAGGGAGAAAATGATGCTTAGAGAAATTGTACAGCTTGCCCAAGGTCACACAGAGAATAAGAATGGTAGAGACAGGATTTAGAAGAGGGTTCCTCAGTCAAGATCTTAACCAATGCACTATAAAAAAATTGCATAATTTTTATAATGAAAAAATGTTGCATATCTACATCTTGAATTCAGGTTCTCTAGCGAAGATCTATATGTTTTTTCCTACTTTCCTACTTCACATCACCTCCTTATTTGATTTGCAGTAATTTCCAGTATCATCCTCTTTCTTCAGGACTGTCTTGCCTCTGCAATTAAATTCAAAGTCAAGCAAGATAATCTTAAAACTCTCGCTTGTGTAATTATTTGGATGAATATGACAAAATTAGAGTAGATACTCCAAAGAGTACATTTAACTGTATTGAACTGAATGCAAGTACATTATTTGCAAAAGAGGAATCATAAATGAAATGTGCACTACTCAATCCATTGGGGTTTTTTACCACCACGTGAAATCCTTTTCCCTTCTTAATAAAATTTGATTTCCTGAACACTGAGGAATGTGGGCACCAATAGCACAAAAGGTAAAGACGCCAGGTGAAGGTGGTAGCAGAGTAAGGGAAGGAAAAAGATAATGAACACATGTTTTACAACTTATGCTACAGCAAACCATGAAAACAATTGCAGAATGGTGTGGATATAGTCACCCTATAGAAAACAACACAGAGATAGACTTGGTAGTTGAAACTCCTACAGGTTTTATTGAAATTCGAACCACACTTAAAGCTTTCAGAAAAAAAGACCAAAATATTGTGATGTGAGAATTATGCTGTCTTTGCTTCCTCATAAAGGAAGAAACAAATGGATGATACGGAGCACACATATAATCAATATTATTATGATTCAAATGACTCATTATATTTTTTTTCCTTTTTCAAAGTCCTTAGAGAAGGAAAGTATTGTCAGTCATGCAAATTATTTGAGAGTAAGGACCACTAAAAGCAATGTAGCTGCAAGTTCATAGTGAAGGTAAAAGTGAAACAGCTTTATATGTACTCCAATCTTTGGGTAAATTTTCCTCAGAAATCAGAATTTTAAAATGCATATTGGCTTATTTGCACACAAGATATTCATCTCATGTCCTAATAACTTCAAGTACGTGTTTACTTTTTCCTTAGCGTACTGTTTTGTTCATGACTATTCAAGCAAAATATTCAACCATAATAATTACCCCTGCTTTAAAAATAGTTTACAAAATATTTTGACTTTCAACAACTAACCCCTATACTCAGTGTTATAGAGAATGTCAGTGTGTCCTCTTTGCTTCAGAAATCACAGGCTTTAGGACAATTTTCACTGGATACAAACTGTTTTCTCACATTGCTATCATCCGGTAGCACTTTACAGTTAGAACAGAACCTATTCTACTGACTTCTTAAACATTCTATGGCAGAATAGATATGTTACACTATATACTCAATATGCTGTAGCTTCCTTCATATTTCAGAAGTTTTATCTCATTCATTTATCTAGTTCTCTAAGAATTTATTTGTTTGTTTTTTTTTGTTTGTTTTTTTTTTTTTTGGTTTTTCTCTGGTACCGGGAACCGAACTCACGACCTTGCGCTTGCCAGGCAGGCGCTTTGCCGTTGAGCTAAATCCCCAGCCCAAGAATTTATTTGTTGCTTACCAGCTCCATGCCACACTGGTATCAGTACTGATGAACAGGCCTAGATTCTTCTTCAGGTACTCCCACGTGAGCTGAATACAGAACTGTCCGTTAAAACAGAAGAAAGGAATAATGACAGGAAAGACAAAAGTAGTTATCATTTTAACAAACCCATATGTTTTTACTTTATCTTTTTTTCCCTAAAAGGATTCATTTAAAAATCTGGCATATCAAGGCTGCATAGAGATTCAGAATAGGGATCAGTAAGTCACGATAATTAATGGCACTGTAGAAGGTCTGTATCACTTTCTCTGAAATCCATGTATTTCAACATCAGACATTCAGGAGTCTGAGTAGGACTTGTGAGTATGTATTTTAAAAAGAGAAAAAAAGGAAGGGGTGGAGGAGAAAGATGGGAGAAAGCTACAGTAACTCACACTGCTAATTGTTTGAGAAAAGTCCAAGATGAATAAGGTGGCAGTATTTTTATGTTATGCTGAAAAATATTAATATATTCCACTAAGAAGGGCTGCCTCAGTCTGCAGTAAAACTGTGACAAAATACCACACAGCACGAATGTTCTGCCTTAAGGGCTACACATGAGGGGCTATGGACCTTCTGTGATAGAAACTCCGCCTGTGAGGCCTATAGGAATGGAATTCACAGAGCCCTACCTTCAAGGCACTCACTAGCTACTGAGGAGACAGGGTCTAGACCGGCATGGGAAGGGCTGTGGAGAGGCTTGAAAAGTTAAGATGTGAGGTGAGTAGAATTTTCACTTTAAAACCTATGCTTCCCAGTCTAAGTCATATAGCACCGTGAGTGTCACTCTTCTTTTTTCAAACAATAAAAGCAGTTATTTTATATCTGTATCTGAGACCCAAAATATTTGAAAGATAGGAAAAATATATGTAAGATGGTAAATTTGAGTAAAAAATGAGTACTGGAGAGTTGGTTTTCTTTTTCATATGTATTATAGCCGTGGTTGTAAGTAACAAGAAGAGAAGAGTGAAATAGATCAGAGCAATCTAGTTTCATTCCCTTTTACTCCTGCCACAAATTCTGAGTCTGTATTTTTTGTTTTTGTTTTTTGTTTTTTTTCCAGTACCAGGAATCAAACTCATGACCTTGCACTTGCCAGGCAGGTGCTTTGCCACTGAGCTAAATCCCCAGCCCCTGAGGCTGTATTTCTTACACTAGAGATTTTCACTGCTTCTGATAAGATGACAAGAAAAGCTCACATATTTGCCTCTATTCTCTGAATACAGATTAAATCGTGTGTATCAGTTGGAAATCTCACACATATTTTACGTGCCAAAGAGCCTTACCGCATTTACATGGAACCAGAGTAGGCTTGCACGATTTTAAATTACCTTACTTAGAGTTAATATTTTTGCCTCAAGATATCGTTCACTAATGAAAGACATAAAAGAAGGTGCATTATGCCAAGAGATCTACACTTTTACAATAGGACATCGTAGACCTGCCCTGCAGATCCAAGTTTGGGATATTAAATTGAACCTTCAGTCCGAATTACCTTAGAAATCCAAGGGAACATCAACTACAGGAGGAACAGACTTCTGTTTTTCCAAACGTCACAATTTTACTTTTGGTTTTAATATTTTATGAAATTTACAGCCATTGCATACTTGGAAAACTCTAGAGCTTTGCGTAAATACTGCTAGTTTGAAATTTTCAAGTGCCTGAGACTCAACATCACGTAAAGAGCCCGTGTTCCTGAGTATTTCCTAACATTCACCAAACCCTTTCCTGCAAATAAACATCCAAGCCTTCTACTTGGAAGTTACTGAAAACAGTTTGTGCTTCATTAAAAACTAACAACTGCATTATATGATACAGATTAAAAAGTATGGTACACAAGTGTAAATCTTCAGATCTGGGTGTGAGAAAAACAGAACAAAGAGGAATATTTTTAAAACATCCCAGATGCTATAGGAAATCATAGTACAAGTGAAGAACCAGCCCTCTATTTTTCTAAGAAGACAGTGTGGTCAGTGCTGGCTCCCTGGAGCAGTCCCGGCTATGTGTAAATCCAACTTCTGCTTCTTATTGGTGTGTGATCAGGTTACCCCCAGCATCACAGCACCTGGTTTGTTTGTTCATTTATTTGTTTGTTTGTTGCTTTGAATTTTTCTACTCAGAACAGAAATACTAATAATACCCACTTCATGGCGCCATCATGAATAACTACATTAACATTTATAAAAGATTTAAACACCACTTGGT